CAGATATATTTATAGTAAAGAGGTTTAAGGCAAAGTACATAAATAATCCTATTATTAATTCTATTACACCCCTTCAAACTGTGCGTGAGAAACAACGCGCAGGTTGTCTTTCAAAAAATGAAAACGCTGATTAGGGAGACTTTTAGTAAAAATATGTGTCAGCTGTAGATCTGTAGGAACATGTCTAACAATCAGATCTCCATGGGCAACTCGTTCACGAACAAAATGATAATCAATCTAAATATGCTTACTTCGAGCATGTTGAACCGGATTTGCAGTCAAACAAGAAGCTGAAATATTATCACATGAGAGATTCACAGGTTCGGTGATGGGGAAGCTGAGCTCGAACAGAACAGAGCGGATGTGAAGTGTATCTTGAACCGTGTAGGCAATGACACGATACTCAGCTTCTTTGGAGGACTTGGATACTGTAGACCGCTTTTTAAAATTCCAGGAAATAAAATTTGGACCTAAAATATAGCAAAACCTGTGGTGGAACGAGAACTATCAGGTCATCCTGCCCAATCAGCATCTGCATAGGCTAGTACGCACGTAGGACGGTCAGAATGCTGAAGCCACAGTCCATGATCATGCGTTCTCTGCAAGTACCTGAAAATTCTTTTGACTGCAAATAGATGAGTAGTACGAGGGCATGCATGAACTGAGACACCAAGTGTACTGCATAAGTAATATTTGGCCGTGTCAAAGTTAAATATTGTAACGCATCTACCATGCTACGATACTCGGTTGAATCCACGTGCAACTCACCATCATATAGAAACAGGGTAGTACGAGACGCCAATGGGGTGTGTACGGGTTTAACCGTATGAAGATGAAACTGAGCCAGAAGATTTGAGACATATTTGTTCTAAGAGAGAAACAGACCTTTAGAAGAATGAGATGCCTCAATGCCCAAGAAATAATGTAAATTACCCAGATCCTTCATGGCAAAATGATTAGATAACCGAAATAAACTGGGCAACGGTAGACTCGGAATTGTCATACTAATAATATCATCTACATATAATAATAAATAAATAATACTATTATTCTGGCGATAAATGAATAATGAATTATCAGACTTACTACACGAGAAATATGATGTAGAAGACAACTACTAAACCTATGAAACCATGCACGTGGTGCTTGCTTAAAGTCATAAATAGCCTTACACAGACGACACATATGATTAGGAAATTAAGGGTGAAAAAAACCACGAGGTTCACGCATATAAACTTCCTCTGTCAAGTGACCATGTAGAAAGGCATTTTTAACATCAAGTTGACGAATAACCCAACGAAAAGAAACAGCAAAGGTAAGAACAATACGAACAATGGTAGGTTTAATGACAGGACAAAAAGTTTCAGAAAAATCAATACCAGCCTGTTGATTAAAACCTTGAGCAACCAATCTTGCCTTATGGTGCTCCACTAACCCATCTGAATGATATTTCGTTTTATAAATCCACTTACAACCTACAATATTCTTAGTGTTGTCAAAGGGGCACCGAATCCCAAGTATTATCATTAATGAGTGCATTAAATTCATCAGTCATTGTCTCCCTCCATTTTAAATGTTTATTAGCCTCAGTAAAACAAGTAGGATCCGCAGGAAAAACAACTGTACTTAAATTAAAAATAGTTTTAGGCTTAAAAATTTCTGCATTGGCACGGGTTTGCATTGGGTGCTGATTAACAACCGTAGTGGGCACAACCGGTGTGGACGAAGGGGGAATGGTGTCGGCCTGGAAGGGAGCGGTCTGGGAGCAATCGGGCTGGTGAATATCGGCCAGAGGATTTTCGGGCTGGTGGGTGGCGTTCGGGTTGACAGCATCCTGGGGAGCGGTGGTACGGACAGAGGAGTGTGGTGACGGGGTACGGACAGAGGGTGTGGTTTCTGAAGGAGGAGTATGGTTCGGGGAAGACGAACTGGACCAAGTTGACAGAGAGGATGAAGAGGGCGGTGTGAGGCTAGGCAGCGGTGATGACCGGTGACCGGCCAAGGGTATGACACTGGGTTCAACTGAGCTATTGGTAAGAGACATCGGAAATGGTGTGGAGTGAGATGGTGGAAGAGGACTAGATTTCCTAAAATGTTTGAAAGGGATAAATATCCTCATGAAACCTAACATGACGACTGACATAAACGCAACCTGTGGTAGGATCGAAATAGCGATAGCCCTTGTAACTGGATGCATAGCCAAGAAAAATACATTGCACGGATCGGAGTGAAAGCTTATTAGCAGAAGTGGCTGAAAAATTGGGGTAGCATGCCGAGCCAAAGAGTCGCATAAATGAATAATCTGGAACACGATGAAATAACTTTTGTATGGAGAAAACCATTTAATGTAGGAGAAGGTAATCTGTTAATAATATATGCAGCAGTAAAAAGAACATCGACCCAGTATTGACTCGGTACAGATGCCTCGAGTAGCATAGTGCGAGTCAATTCGAGGAGATGACGGTGTTTTTGCTTTGCAATCCCATTTTGTTGAGGTGTGTCGGGATAAGATTTTTGAAAATAAATGCCATTAGCTGAGAAAAATTGTTGCATATCATGATTAACAAACTCACCACCTCCATCACTTTGAAAATTTTTAATTTTCTGATTAAAAAGATTTTCAACCAAAGCTTTAAAAATTTTAAAGTGCATAAAAACTTCACTCTTAAGGCGCATTGGATAAGTCCATGTAAAACGAGAGTAGTCGTCAATAAAACAGACGTAATATTTGAACCCCAAATTAGAAATAACATGAGATTGTCATACATCGGAATGAATAATTTGTAAAGGGCAAGAAGAATAATGACTAGCATCCACAAAGGGCAAACGTTGTGATTTTCCTAACCGACAAACCACACACTCATGAGTAAATGGAGAATGACCTAGTCTACGGTGCCACACAGGGCCAGATGCTAGCACAGAAGCTAGAACTAATGATGAAGATGATGGCGGACTGATAGGATAGAGTGGTCCACTACTGGTAGCTCGTAGAAGCACCGCCCCCGAGGCTTTGTCCTTAATCAAAAAAGAATTTTTATCAGAAATGACAGTACAGTTATTATCTGCGCAAAGCCGCTGAATCGAAATTAAATTATATTTTAACTGAGCCACATGATAAACAGATTTTAATGTGAGAGGACGACCAGAAGAAGGTAATGCAACATCACCAACATGACAAATGGGTAAATGGGCACTATTAGCAACACTAACTGAATTATAGCCATTGTAAACAGATTTATTTAATAAAATACCTTCAGATGCAGTCATATGAGCAGAAGCTCCCGAGTCAGGGACCATAAGGCGGAATTAGATTCCCCAGGAGTAGTCAACAGAGTCGGAGCAGACAGCTGAGAAAAACGAGATGGATAGGTGATGTCAGAATAACATGCAGAAAAACAGATTTGACACACAACAGAATGGGGAACAGACCCAAGAATACCCCCGTCTGATGGCAATCCTGCGGAACTAAAGTTAGTAATCAAAACAGGTAGAGCATTAATATTTAAATGTGACAAAGTAGAATTACAATTAACAGTACCCGTAGGTGGCACACCCCCTGAATGAGGAGCATACCCAACCGGAACCGGATGACCACCCCCTCCGGGGTTGTAAAACTGATGCCCCTGTTGCGGATACCCGAACTGGTTCAGATATCTGAACTGCCCCTGCTGCTTGCCGCGACCCCGACCGCCGCAGCCACGACCTCGCCCGCGACCACGGCCACGATGCGGCTGCAGATACCGGGGCTGCTGTTGCTGTCCGGCCGGAAGCTGCTGGACCTGTTGTGACCCGCCCTGCTGCGGGCCAGTTGGCTGACCGGAGTATGGAGCGGATGCTGCGAACGCCTAATGAAGAGAGGACGATTCTTGGGATCGAAGATACAATACCCGCTATTCTTGCTCAAGTATATGATTACGGAGTGTTTCAAACAAGATATTTTGAGGGAACAACGAGACAGTGGTGAACAAGGATTCATACTCAGATCCCAACCCCATAATAGTAGTCTTGAGCACCTCACGAGAAGACACATGGCAATTAATCGTAGCAAGATCATCAACCAAAGTTTTTATCTCCCTTAAGTAATTATCCATGGACTGTTCAGGTTTCCTTTTAATTTGAGAAAACAATCTCTTTAATTCCATAGATCTAGCTAAACTAGCCGACATAAATCGAGATTCTAATCGTTCCCAAATTTGATAAGAATGTTTTAAATCCCGAACATCAATAAGAACACCGCGAGACAAAGTTGCAAATAACCAAGAACGAATTGTTTAATCAATTCGCAACCAAATTGAAAATTCGGGATTGAGAGTTTGACGGTTTAGAATATCTATGGAATAAGGAGGAGGTACCTGAATAGAGCCATCTACCATGCGAAAAAGAGCTTGCAAGACAAGAAAAGACTCAAACTGGGTCCTCCAAGTAGTATAATCTTCAACCACAAGAAGATTGGTAGTGACAACATTGGTGGCCACATGAGATATAGTAGAGGCGAGTTCTGCTAGAGGAGACCCTGTAGTGCTGCCCACGGTGGTCCGAAGAGGTGGTAAGGTGGACGAAACTCCCAGTGAGCCAACAAACGTGTGTCCAACGAATGATCCAGCCAAGAAGGGCGGCGGATCCAAGGGTACCTGCTGAACTGGAGTCGGTGCAGGCCATGTAAACGTCGGCGGCAGATTCTGGAAGAGCCGAAGAGAGAAAATGTTCCCCTAGGGCGGCTTGGAACTAAGCGCAAGAAGAGAAGGCCACACCGGAGTTTATGGAACTAAGCGCCGGCTGATGGTTGTGTGGTAGCCGTTGCGGACGAGACGACGGGAGCCGAGGTCATCATCGCAGAAGTTGGTGCAGAGGAGATGACCGCTACGGCAATGCTTGAGGCGACGGAAGTCATGCTGCAGCGCCGAGGCTAGAGAGAAGGACCGAAAAAAAAATAGGTTTTTAAGTATGCTCTTGATACCATGTGAAATAATGAAACAAGATGCTCTCTAAAGAGCCCTGACAGATATATTTATAGTAAAGAGGTTTAATGTAAAGTACATAAATAACCCTATTATTAATTCTATTACATACTTGAAGCGGTAACTGGTAAAGTGTTAGTTCCCAAATATGACGACAATCACATCACATATATAAATGAAAATTTCAAAAAGTAAATGAGCAATAATAGTAGTAATGAATACAAAAAGGATGAAGAACGTTTACAGATCATGATATTCAATATTGCTATAATCAAAGGGCGGCTCACTCTTCTCTCTGGAACGTTTGGATGCCTATTCCAAATTTAGGTTTACCGAAGCCAGGCCAACAGATATATTATATATTTATATCCCAAGGTTGGGCTTCTATGGGGTCTAGAACCAGAACCACATGTGTGTAAAGCGAGAGCTTGCATTACTTGCATAAGTCTAAGTTTTTGACTTTGTTCGACCAAAACTTGTCCTATTCCATTCCTACCAGCGTGCAAAGAAGGTTCAAGTGAGAAGAGTAGCCTTCAAATTGTAATTCCGAGCAAAGAGTCTAGCCACCACCAATCCAGCAGCCAGAGCAACTCCAAACGAAGTATGAAGCCTCACGCAGTAATACTTCGCCATAAATATCTTTGTTTTGTCCTATTTTACAAGCATTACACAGCTAGTCAACAATCGTAATTTCTCGAAAACAACAGGGATTTTGCTTCTTTAATCTTTATGCAGATGAGTATGCAGTTTTTTCCAGGCTTACCTTGTGGTTCTTTTCCACGTAGCTAATCACCATTCTTCCCATAGGAATTGTTAGGCCACAGAGAACCTACAAAAGAAAAACTAACAGCACTTGATGAATATGTTAACCAAAATGTTTAACAGACAGTACTAAATCATAATCTAATTGAGCACAAACAGATTATGTTTCCGTTTCATAGCCATAATTCATCTGGCTTTGCTTATTTTGCTCATCTGTTAAACAATTGAATAAATACTTCTGGCTTACTTGTATGCCAAAAATAGATATTGCCCACCACTTTTCATTTCATAAAATCAAGCATACCCAGTCATTTCTACCAACTAACACTGGCCAAAGAGGCTCTATAGATGCGCATATCATGTTTTGGATTTTTTTTTAACTTCAACAAAAAGAGCACTGCACGAATTATTATAACTTGAGTTCAGACCGGTAAACTCATAGTTTAGATACTAACTAATAAACAATTACGCCTTAGTATGTTTCTTCAGATATCATATCTAAAGCCATGATAAAGCCAAGCCAAACCTGCAGACTGTATAGAAAATATAAAACAATAGATGGCAAACTAACTTACAATGCATGCAGAAGGAAGAAATTTGGTTAATCCAAGAACAAACAGTAGAGCATAGATCGTGATAACAGACACTTTAACAACCTCCTCACCTGCTTTTGTACCGAGCCTTACCTGCAGTAATAAAAGAAGATAAATGGTTAGCCGCTTCAGTTGCCACCTGGTTCTTCCACTGGGCTTTCAGTAACTCACCAAAGGAGAATACTTTCCAACACTTCTGTCCCCGTCAATCTAAATTGCAAATCAAGTGTTAGTTAACCCGTGTGACTAAGTAACGGTACAAAAGGTGGAGAGGGATGTTAACCTGATGAAAGTGACTACAGAATAAGATCAGGGACGTTGTCAGACCTACAAGAACTGATGCCGAAAGGATAGTGCCAGTGATGGGTAGTAGTTCACTATTAGCAAGCATCAAGGCGATCAAGAAATCATCATGAGCTTCTTTGTAGTACTGTAACTATAAAGGAAAAATAAGATATATGTGCAAACCTAGTTTTGCTCTGAAGCAAGTAAAAAGCAGTAGTAGCAAATGGACCAAATGCTGCAAAGCACAAAGGCTCACCCAATCCCTGGTAGCTCAGCCGAAATGGAGGGCACTGCAAAATGAAAAAATAATAATGATAATAATGAACTTGTCTGCATAATTTGAATTTTTTAATTTCTGCCCTCAAATAAATTTATGCACTTACCTGGTATATGTAACCACAGGTAATTGCGGATGCCAATAGTAGTATAGAACGAATGTTTGCAGACTGTAGAGCAGCCCATGCAAGGCCATAGAAGCCAAGAGAAAGTGATACATAAGCAGCAACTAGTGTTCCTGTGCGGCTGGTAAATCATGATAAAATTATATTTGTGATCATTGGTTTAATTAGTTAGTTAATACTCTGTACCAAATAGAAGCATAAAAGATATAAATGACTTCAACATTATGGACGGAGAAGTGGAAGTCAAAGCAATATAGTACGGACTACGGAGTAATAAAAAATATTGCAGAACAAACATCATACTCACCATGTCTTATTTTGTAAAATTCGCTTTTCTTTTTAATCCATCGCAGAATAATGTTCTGCTTCCAATTCCAAATAGTCTTGTTTTTACGTTTCCTTAATTACCAGGTGACTGTCCTATTCTTTCAACTCTTTCCTTTTGTAGAAACGGGAAAATAAAAAAATCTCATTTAGTGTGGTTTGCCGAAGCGACTTACTTCTCAGATGAGTGACTTCAACCCAAATACCCAATCCTGAATTCTATTAGAATGCGATTCAAGTATAATTACCTGCCAACTATAATTATTACCTGCCAACTATATTAACAACAGACTCGCTCTTATTCTTGTCTGCTCCAGTGTCAAAATCATAAACGTCATTGCTGCCATATTACAAAGACACTGGATTAAGAAAAGGCCCATGGGAAAAAAGACGACAATTAACAACTCTTTTAGGGTAGGATAAATGTGAAGAGATGCAACGACTCTATACTATGTAACTGTTTTGGGAGATACTGGGTGTTGGTTTTGTGTCTAGCTACCAGCCAAAGGCAGTTTTGCACTTATCAATTATCACCAACAAGAAGTTGTGAGATCAGAAGCTACCTTAAGTTTAGCCACGCTATGATAAGAATGGATGAAGCTAAGAGCGAAAAATAACGGGTGGCAGAAAAGAATTCAGCTTGCAAATAAGCAGCTGCACTTCCCACCTGCACAAACAAGAGTGTGTAAAGTGAATGAATGTGCAATCATGAAGGTAGACTATATAATAATAACAGACTTACAGTTAGAGGAATGAGCGCAACAGAGTATATTGGAAGTTTGGCTGCCCTCCATATCAAAGTTGCTCTACTAACATTTTCCTCCACAATGATAGCAGTGCCTGACTGTTGCTCAGCTTCTTTGCCACAAAGTAACAAATGTCTTTGATGTTGTTGTGGCCGCCTTGATTCTTGACACGGTAAAGCTGTATGCAAGATGTTATATCTGTTGTTCGTGCATTTCTTGAGAGAGCCAAGTGATTCAGCTGTAGGTGGCACCAAAATGGTCCTGCAATAAATGTATTTCCATCATAAAATAAAGCAAGCAAAGGTAGTTTGTTGTGCAGGTTCAGGCAATCAGGCATGGTACTAAGCCAAAGTAAGTAAAAAATCAAGTTACCACTGCAACCCAGCAATACAAGAGTCTCAAATGAGATAAACAAAGAGAGAAAAAAGAGTTCACAAAAACTTAAACTCAATTGGATTCAATTGAACTAGCTAATTAATTGGATTCCATTAAGCCAAATGTACTGTAACATAGTTTCTACATGAAATCAGTTCCATCTGATCTTTGCCTGTCTTAATATCTACATGAGATTGATGGTGTGTATCTTTTGTTTTTTGTTTCATCTTTTCTTTTAATGATTGTATCTCCTTCTGAGTTAGATCTGGCATATTGGAAACGATAAAGAGTACTATGTTAGAACTTTTATATATTTATTCATGGCCTCTTTCCAATTACATTGTTTTACAAAAAATGAAAGACAAACAGTTCTCTTGAATTTTCAAAAAAAAGTACTCATCAGTCACCCCACCCCAACACCACTAAGAGCATCCACAACAAGTATTTCTAGTTCACACTTCACAGTTCATAGTGGACATTACCTTAACACATCACTATTGAACAAACTCATATTTCCTTTCACAACCATTGTTTGGTTCATGATTTAAAGTGACACCACTAATAACACTATTATCTTTCATTTTCCCTTTTTCCATGAATCAGTATCAACCTTTGAAACTGAGTCCGTAATTTTAAACTTAAACACAACTCCACGTCTTCTAGGATGAATATGATAAATGTCAAGTGCAAGTTTCAAAAATGAAAACCAACCTCTACCATGGTGGATGCTGGAATGGCCCAGACTACACCCCAACCCTAACAATAACACAAGTAACACTCTTCATTGACAAAAACTTATAGAACCCTGACCATAAACAAAACCCAACCCAATTCAGCCCTTGGGTGACTGAGAAGTTATACAGAAAATTTATAGGAGCCTGACCAGCATATACACTTTTCAAAAGTATATATATATTATTGATTTCAAATAAAGAATATGAAAATAAATTCATACACAAGTAAATTAGTTTATTCTTAAAACCTCGTATATAATGAATGTAGTTGCTTACTAAAAAACAAAGCCTGTACAAAACATAGGGGTATTGATTCACTTGCCTGGGAGAGCTGATACGGCTCCGGTTATGAACAGTGGAAGTGAGGAAGCTGCAAAATGCGGCTACTGCCATCAAACAACGACCTATTAGCTCTCTGTTCTTGAAGAACAAAAGAAACTACTACGGTGTTAATTTTGACTCTGTCTTTTTATTGAACTAATGAAAACAAATTCACATGGACGCGAAGCTTTTTATCTTACCAGTAACTAATTAGGAAAGGGCAGTCGCTTTGTGCAGCCGTGGCACCAACTTATCCCTACCTTAAAACCTTTCCAAGTTCAAAGTAAATGAAAGAATTGAGATTTGAGAATTAATAAAGTAAAAATGGTATGGTAGAAGTTGGTGTAAAGGAGAGAGAATTAATTGAAAACACAAATTCTTTATTTTAAAGGAAAAGTGGCAAATTTAGTGGGACAATCAAAAGATGAAAGTTTGACAAAGTTTTAAGAAACGGGGGACTAAGCAACAAGGGAAATTCCACTCTCATTGTTCTCTATTTAAGGAGTGTTTGGAAAAAAAGTGATTCTAAAAAAATAAAAGTTGATAGTGTTCAGTAAAATAAGCGTTTTTTTGTAAAGTGATATGGAATAAGCGTTTCACTTTACTTAAATGAGCGTTTTTTTGTAAATGCTGGAATGGCCCAAACTACACCCCAACCCTAACATCTTTTCACCTACGTTCAGCGTTTAGCTTTTAAGTGCTTAATTTAAGTAAAAACTATTATTTAAATACTCATTTCAACTCTTTTAAACCAGAACCTGAAAAGCACTCTTTCAATTTTTTGCAAACACTCCCTTAATTGTCTATTGACTATTAGAGTATAATAATTCGTCTCACTTCTACATTATCTTCCAACATATCTTTTTCGTCCGTCCTAATGGGGTGTTTGGATCTGATTCTCAAATCTGATTCTGCTCCTTCAGGGAGCAGAAGAAGAAGCTGGAGTGTTTGGGTGAAATTCCAGAAGCACTTCTGATGCTCTAATTTACTCCCAGAATCAGTTTTTTTAGAAGCTGGGGGGTACCAGCTTCTGAAAACTGATTCTGATTCTGCTTCTGCTTTAAAAAAGAAGCAGAAGCAGAATCAGTTCCAAACACCCCCTAAATAATCAACTTTCCCTTTTTGCATAGAATTTGTAGCTCACAATTATTGTTACATATTCTTACACGTTTCGCTCTCTTATGCAATACTCTCAACCACACAATACTCACTATCTTAATTCATGTGCCAAATATACCCTGAAAGATAATTTAGGGATGGAGGGAGTATTAAATCAAACTTATTTTTACACAACTATGACAAATAGTTATTACATTATAGTGTCATGGTCACATTAAGTTAAAAAATTGAACATAAGGTTACTACTAAGTCACTAGTCACATTTTGTAAATAATTTTTATTTTAGTAATAAATATGTAATTATTTCTACTGTAAAATTAGTCGTCATCTTTATTTTAGTCACTAGTCACATTTTGTAAGCATTATATGTCATCTTTATGGAAGCGGCAATCCTTGCACGTGACTATATAATTGGTCATGGCTGGAAACATGTTCCCTTAGATATAATTTGACAAGGTCAAGTGTCTGTCTTCGGGTTTTGTTTATTGTTATTACGAAACAAACTATTACAGGAAACTGTGTTCGCTTGAAAGAAACATGACAATTCTCGCATTTAGAGGGTATAAGAGAAAATGAGGAATCTTAGGTATAAACACATGTTTGTCGTTATGATCACCAACTGGGATAAAACAACTGATGATATGATCTCCAGATGAATCACATGTTTGTCCTATTGTGAAGGCCTCCAGAAGGATTTGGATTTCGTAAAGGCAAAATGGGCCGGGACAATTCTTTTTAAGGAGTAATCTAGGTGGGGGTAAACCAGCAGATGATAAGGAGTGTAAATATTCATCACAATGACTTTGTTTTGAATCAATGGACTAATCATGGCCAATAAACATGTGTGGTTCACCTGAGAATTTAGCCATTAATGTAGAATTTATTGTGTCAACAATTTCATTCGGTGTTGTTAGGATGGATCGTGTCATTAATGCATAGGGGTCAATTACGAAGGTAACCAAATCATGATAAGCCTCACAACAAAGGGCATCTAGGGAAGCAACAACATTTGTGATAGAATCAATGAAGTTGCGGAATATTTTAATTTTCTCGGGTTCAATGTTTTTTTCTGCCCCGTTTCCTATGCGCGTCAATAGCTTACAGAAATCATGGTCCTCGTGTGCTCGCATATTTTGGATGAGATGCAAACACTGCAGGTCCTCGTGTGCTCGCATATTTTGGATGAGATGCAAACACTGCAAAGATGGCCAAATTGCCGGAGATTTCACAAGGGACACATATATGAAATCATTTATTTTTCCTGAATTGACAATCGAGAGGGTTTGCCTAAAATCACTCTCAAACACCATCACCTTTCCCCTGAAAATAAGTTCTGTACCAGTTAAGTCTTTCAAACAATTATCAAGACTTTCAACATCAGCACTCTATTTTGGTATATTCAAGTGTATATATGATCCCCAAAAGATGACACTATAAATGTACCTTATATGTTGGCTCTATCCTTCCAAAATCAACGTGTTTACCGTGTTGCTCCCAAGCTGACCTCGTTGACCATCTAGCTCCCAGAATTGACCTGCAGAATAATCACTAAAAACAACTAAAAATACATTAGTGGCTCGAGATGCGTCAAACGCTGTCCTAAGGAATTATTTCCGGCGTACGGAAATTTCCCCCAAGATATAACGAGCCCTTCGGTACAAGACCGGTAACAGAACTAACGAGAAGAAAATTAGTATATGAACCCAATAATCATTTGAACAAAATATATAATCCGTGATATGTTTTTATATATAATATAAATCGAAGGGAGCAACCAAATGCACATGTAATCCTTTTAACATAATAAAATGTGAGTAGCTCTTAGTGAAATTTATCTCTGTCTTCTTGACCGCAAGAGAGTTCAAATATATACAAGTTGATAAAGTTGGCTTTCTCCAAAATAATGACTAAATTAATGGCCATTATTAAGAAAACGTTTTTAATCATTAAAGGAAATGTATAACGTTAAAAGCAATAATAATTTGTAGGTGAACAGCCATTTTGTAACAAGTTAAAATTATAGATTAAAATAGTCTTTTGAATCATCATTAAATTTTCACAAAATAATAATTAAAAGAACTTATTCATTTGAAATATTCAAAAATTTCCAACAATCCCCCACATATTTCAAATGAATTAATTTTATATTTTAAAATAGTAATTCCTTACTGGGTTCATATATTGGATGAGGTTTTTCAATCTGGTGTCCGTAGACTTGAACCAGATCTAGACGCCTAAGTCTTTAAATACCGAGTTTATTGGTGAAACATATAGTTTCTATGAACCAATAATCTACTTTGGTAAGTCAGTGTCTTAGGGGATCATTTTTCACCCCCACCTTTCTCGTCGTTAACGCCGTTGTGCGCCTCTAGGCCGTGCGCGTGCTTGGTTTTCTTGAGTGCTCTAGAAACGTTGTCAATGTTTCATGGAGGCGGCCCCACCTCACACTCATATAGGTAACCTCATCAAGTGTGTACTGCACTCAACACACCACCCGTAAGGGCTATGACAATCATTAAGAGCTTTAGCTCAACCTCACAAAGAAATGCAGTCTAGCCTTCCGCACCATAGAAATGGACATTTTACAAGGCTAACAGAACAAATAGAAGACTTGTTATTACTCATTTGAACTTGCTTCATGGGATCTCCAATAACACAAGTTGGGTTCTCATCCCTATTTGTTATCAAAGTGACATTAGTCCATTTCCCTCGATGTTTTAAATTAATTAAAAATTTGACGTCCTAGGGATTCTGTCAAAGGAGTAGCTAATTCCTTGACTTCACAAAATTAATGAATTAATTTCATTCTTCAAAGTCATTTAGACAAATTATATTTCTCAAACATCATTACACCACTTTTTCAGGGTGAATGGATATCCACATTTTTATATTATCTCATGTGAGTCGACTCAGATGTCGTCGTTGTATCCCGGCAATACAACGGATAGCTCTTAATAAGAAATTTCATCGATGTGACCCTCTGGCACATCAGATAATTCTCAATAAAATATATACCACCAATGTATCATTATAGTACAATGGATAATTCTCATATAACATCATTGTACCGCTCTAGTACAATGGATATTTCTCAATAAATCATGTCATCGTTGTATCAATATATTACAACGGATAATCTCAATCAAATATATCACAATTAATATGATACCTCTCAAGTATCTCAATATCTTTTTAAGGTATCCCAACTATCCATTTGGGTGGCATTTACACAACTTTTTGTTTTAATTATTTTTTTTTTTTTAAAATTTTTATTAAAGTCATAAGGGATATTCACATTATTAACACTGAATGCCAAGTTTCTTTTAATAGTATCACCATTCTTCCTTATGGCTTTAATACTCAAAATTAAAATATAATGATAGTAAAATACAACCATTCTTCCTTATGGCTTTAATACTCAAAATTACATTTATTGACTTCATATATCAACTCAATATAACTACTCAAATAAGCATATAAAAATTCTAGCAACACATGCATAAACCCATAATCGCACATGCATCATTTAGTGTGTACACATTTTTTTCTTCAAAATTTATCACATTAATCTCTAAATAATATAGCTTAAAGCATCACACACAAGCACACTATTTCTTCGATATAATAAAACCATGTGCTCCACGTACTATTTTTACATATGAATAAGCGGCCAAAAAATTATATGAGCCGTTTATTAACTCAAGGTAACTAATAAGCATAACAACACAATTAACATCATAAAATTAATGATCCACGTCAAAATCAATTTTTACCAAATACACGTTTCAAATACTATAACTTTCCCCTTCACAAGAGTTTTTCTTGTCTATCAAGAAATTTATTTTCTCGCTTTATAGACAGTAATAAAACTTTAGCTAAGCACCCCCACATTTAAAAATATTTTATAATTGGTGAAAACTTTCAAATAATAAAACACAAATATTACTTTCAAGTGTTCCAAACGCATGCAAGTAAAATAACTAAGTATCTACCTCCACGGCTCCACCTCGTGGTTTTCCAAAAGAAAAAAAAATATATACCAATAACAAGATATAAGATGCAGCATGCGAATCAAATCTCAGTTAATATGACCGGATAGCATTTATAGGTAAAGTAAAGGGAGAATGTTCTAAATAGGAGTAAATAAATCATTAATTGCTAAAGAAGGATTAATGTTTAAAAGTTCCCTAAATAGGATTTATTATTTGTAGTTGGACAAAGATGTCCCTCAACCTTTGAAACATGCTGCCACAGCCACACTGCCGGACCGCTGCAACTCGCCGGCCGCCACCGCTCGCCGGCTGTCGCCACCGCTCGCCGGCTGCCGCCGTGGCCTCAAAATTGGCCATCATTGCAGATCTGGCCGCCGCAGCTGCAGATCCGGTCGCTAGAGCAATAGATCTAGTCACCGGAACAATAGATCTGGCCTCCTCAATCCGGCGACTGCTGCCCCTGCAAAACCGGCGGCCACCACCGCAGATCTGGCATCCGCCGCTGCATCTCTGGCCGCCTCTGCCACTATTGCCAACATTTTTATCGGAATGCCAACATGAAATTGAAATTGCCATTAAAATGGCATTTTCGAAAGTAAACACGAATTTTTCGAAGAGTAAGAATGCCATTTTGTTGGCATTTTCAGAATAAATCTGGCAATTTTAACAAGTAAAGAAGAAATCAGAAGCATCGGACTTGCGGGCTACGACAAAAATAGAAGAGGGTAGAGAGAAAGACAATAGAGAAGGAGGAGAAGGAAAGAGGGGGAGTGCAACGAGCTTGATTCTGCAGCAACAGATCTGGATCGGATTTTGCTCGCCCCAGCTCGCCTCTGGTTTCGTTGCTAGCCGATGGTCGCTGCAGTTGCTAACCGGAGAAGATGAGCGATTGGAGAAGACGAGCAGGTTGGAGAAGATACTGGTGCGCATGGAATATTTTAAAAATCAAAGAAGTCAAAATGATCTGACAACAAGAGAACTGGTGTGTGGAAAAGTGAGGCTCGATCATGTGCAGTACCTGATGGAGTAGAAGGGGTAAATCTGGGATAGGAGTCTTATATGGGAATAGAAATGTATTTATTCCTATTTGGGAATTTACACAATAATTTAATCCCATTTAGGGTAAAAAATCCTAAAGTAAACAAGCTTTAGGCAAATGATCCACCGATTATATTAAACATAATTAATATTTTACCAAACTGCAGTACAGCACATACAACACATACTATATATACGTAGTTGGCGTTAATAAAAGCCTAAGATAATGTAATCAATCAAAATAATTAACGAGATAACATGCAAGGCCACCCATAACTCCTCTCAAAAGGCAATAAGCAAATACATACGTAGCCAGACCATGCAAGCACAAAAACCTTTAAAGCAATACAACTTGTAATTTAATTTCAACAATCACAATAAAAATTAAAACAACAAATGGTGAGAACCGAACAACAGTATAATAGAAAGAATTTTCAAAATACTACACACAATAACCGTAGTGATTAAAACAGAAATATAATATATAGCAATAAAAATTACTAACATATGTAATTAAAAAAACGTTTTTAGGAAATTCAAGCCATTAAATTAGCAACACTAAACACATAACAATGTTACCATATTCATAATGAATTTACCCAAGCTTTACCAATGAGATACACACCAAACAGCTAAAATATAAATCAAAGTTCGGACTCCTTAAATAGGTTATTAAAAGATAATCATTTTCCTTGATATGAGTTTAAAGGAAACCTCTATTTCACCATCATATCCCTATTACACAATAGGAGGAAAATACTTTTGTATTCACAATTGAATCTGGTAGCCTCAAAATTTATCACATATTAATTCACATCAGTCATAGCAAATTTTGAAAACCAACTGCAGCAATTATCATCACGCCAACAAAGTTAAAACTTTATTTTGGTGGATTGTTCTCCATAATTTCAATTCCCCACAAATAGTGACATTTTAAATGAAAGTTAATTGTAATTACGCTTTTTCAAAAACATACCACAATTTTGCCATCAAATGGAAGCTAGAGTTTACACCGCTTGTCCCAAGGGGAGTTTCAGGCACGTTGACTATTTCGTAGGTGTAATCTTTCCGTACGCCGGAAATAATTCCTTAAATTGTTGGCTCTATCCTTCCAAAATCAACGTGTTTACCGTGTTGCTCCCAAGCTGACCTCATTGACCATCTAGCTCCTAGAATTGACCTGCAGAATAATCACTAAAAACAACTAAAAATACATTAGTGGCTCGAGATGCGTCAAACGCTGTCCTAAGGAATTATTCCCGGCGTACGGAAATTTCCCCCAAGATATAACGAGCCCTTCGGTACAAGACCGGCAACAGAACTAACGAGAAGAAAATTAGTATATGAACCCAATAATCATTTGAACAAAATATATAATCCGTGATATGTTTTTATATATAATATAAATCGAAGGGAGTCGGCCGAACTGCCAAGCATGGATATATATATATATATATATATATATATATATATATACTAGTTTTGTTACGCGCGTTGCGCGATATAAAAAATGCCCAATGTGATTTATGAAATATTTATATTAAGTTATGTTATAATTTTGATGATACTGTTTGTATGCACTGTTCAGTAGAAGTAATGGACTAATCAGAGTGTGTGAAGTGTAAACATGGACTAATCAGTCATATAATGTTTATGAGTCGTATAATGGACGCAAGACCTCGGGAACACTCCAAGGTTGTAATAAGAATATGATGATTTTTACGATCAGTAAAATACGCACAAAGAATCAGTATTTAATAAAGAACTTCATTCATCCACCTCAAAAGCATGGTCAACTATATAAATGATTGATCCACCCTCTTCACAAGGCCTTGTGAGATATCTACTTGGCAACATTTCTGCTCTCACAAAATGCTGCACTTGTGGCATGCTAGGACCATTCTGAGTGTTGTTCAATGACCGTTCACATATCTACAAAGAATGTAAACAAAGGCAGTAAACTTCACATTACCTTGATTATTTGTAACTTTAAATAGCTTAAAGCCTTTTTTAGGATATGTTTATGTGTTGTTGAAGCTTAACCAGAAGTCATGAGCTGTTGTTAAAGTGGTAGGTGCATAGAGTTGATTCAAATAACCATAAACATGTTTTTGAGACAATTCAGCAAATATATGATAAAACATGTCAAAATTTTCACTCTGGTCACACGATTATTAAGTCATTCCACTTTTGGCACCCAACTACAGATTACTCTCTACTTATGGTCGTTCTGATCACTTATCCGGCCAACCTATACCATTCTGAGTTGATTTTCACCGACAAGTTGCTGGAAAGGACCAATGGTGGAAAGATGAAAAAGAAGACCTAAAACAAGAGCACCTTAAACATCGCGGACCAAAAGCGGAAAATGTTTCTCACCAAAAAACAAACCTGCGTGTATAGAAGCTCAATGGTGCCCCCCATCACAAGTAGACATTGCATTTAAAACCTCCACAACTCAGCAATCACAAAACCATGCTGGCCGATCTTTAAGGATTTCGACAACCTGGTTTAAGTGACAGAACGTTATGTTTATACTTCGAAACAGCAAAGCAAAGAGCTCTATGGTGTAACATAGTAAGATGTAATGAAATATAATGTGTAATGTCATATTACATTTAAAATATATGAAGTATTTGATTATATTGCATGCTGTCACAGTTTATCAAACTAAACCTAAGCTTTTTGCATTGACACTTGCTCTTGTAGGTTCCATACCCACGAGACCGCATGCACGTGAGGCTACACCAACACAACCACGAAAAATAGCAATGATTCCGAAGGATCCGGACCAGGATGCAAGAGAAGAAAAGGAGGAGAATAAGTAATGAATGGCTCTTACTGTCATACATATCATAATTCATAAGTATAAAAAACTTCAATGTAATATTCATTCAATGAAAATTTTTAATAGAAGGCTAAAGAAAAATTTAATACCAGCCAACCATTTCATTTTACAGGAAAATGGAGTCCTACTCATTTTACAAGAATTGTGAGTCTCAAAAACCCCAACAGTCAAACAAAGGATGAATAGAGAAAAAAATGACAGTAGAAAAATACACTACGGTACAAATTTTCATAGTATGGGGCTGGTTGGCTCAGCGCTTTGGCTTCCAAAACGTTATTTATGTAACAATCACCCACAATAAGTGTATAGCATGGCATTTTTGCAGTGATTTAAATAATACTGTAAGGTTCTAAAAACACTAGAATCAAGATGCTACAAATTCTAACTTCTTGATTTAGCTTTTTTTTAACCCAAGCCATCTAACAATTGTTTTTTCCTTTTCGACCATTTTGCACGAAAAACATTAAAAAAATGAGCTTCATTCAAATAACTAACTAAACTCGATTGAGACACCACTTTGAGCTTACATTTTTTTTCAAATCAAAAGATGTCTTTAAAATACTATTTTAGCCAAACACCTTCAACTCTTTTAACAACATAGAATTCGTGGACCACAACAGTTAGAGGTTAAAATAGGCAAGGCGACCTTCATTCCAGGCATTTGGACCCACCCCACAGCAATTCGAGTGGCCTTGGACAGAAACTCTGTTAAAGTCTCCTCCTCTAAGGACATGAGTCTAGTGGAATAGTAATATAAATTCACCTCCATAAGCATAGAATATAAATACAAATTATAATGGTTAAACAAATTATACACTTACCCTGCAGGGCTTGCATCTCTTGGAGGATGGTGGGGAGTTTCACAACTGTTATCGGTCATAATCACAGCTGTGTGTGACACAAACCATTAACAAAACTTTAAAGTAGGACTTTAACCTACTTTTAAAAAATATAAAAAAACATTTGAAAGAAAATGGGAATTAGATAAAAGAGGAAACCGTGGAAGGAAAAAACTCATCAAATCAAGGTTTTCTCATTTTCCCATCTCTCGCTTTCTCTCTCTCTCTCTCAATATATACTTAGAATTCACTTGACAAAAGACTTGCACCAAATCCTCATAAAACTGTCCGCTTTATCCGTAAGCCTATATTGTTTTTGGGTTTAACTTTCTGCTGTTATATTCCAAGATAGTACAAAAAGAGTGTTATAAAAGAAGTCAAATAACAAAAACAGAATGTATCGTCTATTCGTCTTATGAAAAAAGATCTATAAATCAAGGATACTATCATATAGAAGATCTATAAACCATTATTCCTGGGAGACCAATTTCATATTTATAGCACTTGATACTACCTGACAGGCTAATTCTACGTATTTCATAGCACTTGAATTATATACTACCAGTGTATTAAAACATTTCAAATGAGGAAACCATACTGCACTTTAGGATTATAAAGTCAGAAAAATTGGGCTTTCACATTTCATAATATTTTTTCTCTTCTCTCTAGATGTTGACATTTTTAGGATTTCAAAAGATGAGTGATTTTTTTGGTGTATGGTTTTGCCTTGGAAATATGAACAAAACCTCTCTGAATCAATGAGAAAAGAACTTGATACCTCTTCAATAGGAAAAAAACACTCACATGTCAATGAACACTATAAAATAAGTTGTTTTATGGTTTTCCACCCCCTGTTTTATGTTTTGTCACTTACGGATTCTTTGCAAATTATAAAGCCTATGTTGTGAAATAAATTTTATACCAAAGTTATTGATATTTATAGTTTTATATACATGAGGAGGTGTTGGATAGTCATGCAGTGAGTATTAAATGATTAAAAATTGTTCTAAAAATGATTGTGTTTTATGCAAAGAAAACAAAAATTGCCATTACATGTCAATAGCCATTACTGCAATTTAATTTGTGATTGCAGTATGCTTCTTCTTGTCATAGTCTGTTTTTTTAAAAACAAATAAAAGTTTCAACGCATGAGTGTTTATCTCAGTGGTTATAGGCTTATAGGTTATAGCTTTACACCTCTTTAGCTAAAAAATACAAGTTTTGAGCCTCCAACCCAAGGTAATCCACATATTTATTTGGCATTTTTGCTCCTACCTGCCTTAATTTAATTAACCTCTGGTATTAGTG